CCCCCTCCTCCCTCCCCCGTAAATAATCCCACCTCCCCCTCCCATCCCTCTCCCAACACCTCAACGGCCTAACAACCATCCACTCCCCATCCTTCTCCGGCACCCGCGGCGCATCCCCATAACCCTCCACCTCAGAAACCGAAACAAAATCTCTCTCTCCACGTCCTTGTCCCGGCCGTTTACTCCTACCCCAGAGAACAAAGGCTAATGCCCATAAAGCTGCGAAAACAGGGAGACCTAGGCCTACTGCGACACCGACTGCGAGTTTGGTGTATGCCTCGGATTGCTGAGATGGTGATGTTGAGTTTTCGGGCGGTGGGGTTTGTAGTGCGGATTCGGGGGAGGCTCTTTTGGTGTGGACTGCGTGATGGGGATGGGGAGGGGATGTATGAGTGTTATGAGATAGTTCGAGGAGATAAAGTATGAGATAAGAGAAGAAAGAGGAAATCTGAAAATACATCCTTTCTTAGACAAAAAGCGAACATGATTCCTGGCAGTGTGTGTCATATAAGGTAAGATATACCTCGAAACGTTGACATGGCGTACAGCAAGGAGTGCACAATCGTATGACCCAAAATGTCATTGCCGACGCAAGGGTCAGATGGCGGATGTCCAAAAGCAACAAAGGAACCAGTGACGAAACTCGGCTTGAAGCAAGAATCGCCAATTATAAAGTGGCTACGTGGGCGAGAAAGCTGCACGGCATGGCGGGATTACTGGGACGGTATGTGATGTGATGTGATGGGCATGTCACAGGCGTCAAGAGTTGACGCTTGTCACCCGCATGCAGCATGGTGTCAAACCAACATGGCGACAAATCTTTTCATCGGCGCATAGGTTGAGGAGTTGGGAATGGAAATGCTCTTTTATGGCTACTTTGTTGTAAGATGGTGACTTTTGGGGGATTTTAGAAAGATTGTTTATTCTGAAAGTGATACTACAACCCAGACAGATGTACTGCCACCACTGCAGAAATGTATCCTGATTGATCTAGAGGTGTGTAGTACGGTACAATGGAAGGGAAATGAAATGCTGCAATGAAAAGGGGCAATACGGATTTCACCCATCTGGAGAGGTGCAGAAATGGCACGGCAGATATAGCCAGCTGTAAGCCCACTCGGAGAAATATGGCACATGGACTTTGTCCGACAGAAAAATTTCTTTGTATCAAATTGTGTTGACGTTCGAAAACGTGGGGTTTTATATATATGGACCCGTGCTCCCACAGGGTTATGTACATACAGTACCAGGTACGGGAGGGGAGGTCCCATCCCTGCCCTTCGCCCGGCCGTCATCCAATTCCCGCGAAGACTCACTGACACAAACCATCAACACCATCAACACCATTAATCCGCTGGAATGCCGTTAGTCGCTCAGTACCTCAATCTCTTGCTCCTTCGTCGTCGCAACCTTCCCTCATGTCGACGTGGACTGGCCACAACGCCGAGACCAGAGAAGATCTACTTGTAGAGGGGAGGCGCGACGTGGTCTTGTCTCGAGTATAAACCTGAGTATAAACCCCCTCTGACCTTCTCTACCCCCTCGCTTTCCTCTCATATATATACCGTTTTTGACCCTCGAAATTCAATCGCGAGGGTGGCCTCGATGAGCTCAACGCCAGGCAATCACAATTTCAACTCCGCCACTTGGATTGCGAATGCCGCGTCCGGACTCTGCCTCAGTAAGCTGCACTGCACTACTGCCGTACGAGTACAGCAAATGAGCGCGAGTCAGAAGCCGAACAATAGCTACCCGCTCCACGGGTCGTAAGTGCAAGTGCATCGCATCTCTCGCTGCTCAGCTTGACAATCTACAATTAATCAACACGCGAGAGGTGGCTGGCCGACCGTGTCCGATTGTCCGAGTTTGCACTATTACTATTTCAGTACCGGCTTGAGAGGCAGAATTTTGACAGCGACCATATGCTAGGAATGTCACTGCCACTTCCACTGCCTACTGCAGCTCTGAGGACTGAGGCTTTGGGTGAATCCGTTCCCCAGGATAACTTGGGAGTCTTGAAGTCTCTCTCCTGCTATCAACCATCTACGTGAGATAAATACCCTCACCCACGGTTCCAAGCACAGTCATGTCTGAACCAGTCCCCAGCCCTCCTCCGTACCCAGGCAAGCCAGTTGACTTGGCCATCACCAAATCGTCACCACCACGACCTATTTGGAAGAAGTGGTGGATTTGGCTCTGCGCTCTTCTAATCATTGCAATCGCTCTCGGATTGGGAGTTGGCCTTGGCCTTGGATTACGACACAAAAACGAGGATAATGATACAGGAGGTGCACCACCCAACCTTCCAGGTAATAACAATACGAACGCCACCTCGGGCGCATTATGGACTCCTGGTGCTGGTACGACCTGGCAAATAATGCTGCAGCATCCTCTCACGGACTTTTCGTCACCCAGTGTTTCCGCCTTTGACATTGACCTTTTTGACAATGATGCCTCCATCATTACCGCTCTGCATGATAAGAATCGGAAGGTCATTTGTTACTTTTCCGCTGGAAGCTACGAAAACTGGCGTTCTGATGCCAGTCAATTCAAGAAAGAAGATTACGGGAGAAAACTTGACGGCTGGAAAGGCGAATTTTGGGTTGACACCAATTCCAACAACGTTCGCAACATTATGAGTGCTCGACTTGCCCTTGCTGCCAGCAAAGGGTGTGATGGTGTTGACCCGGACAATGTAGATGGATATGATCACGACACGGGGCTCAGTCTTACAACTGCAAGCGCCATCAACTATCTCACCTTTCTGGCCCAAACCTCACATAATCTCAACATGTCAATAGGCCTGAAGAATGCAGATAAAATTGTGAGCTCAACTGTCGATACCTTGCAATGGGTTGTCACCGAGCAATGTGGCCAATACAATGAATGCGCTGCCTATCAACCTTTCATTGCGGCAGGAAAACCTGTCTTTCGAATTGAGTACCCAAATTCTGCGCCATCGATTTCGACAGATACGAAGAATCAGATATGTAGTGCAAGCGGTGCACATGGGTTCTCAACAGTGATCAAGAAGATGGATTTAGATGATTGGGTAGAATACTGTTGAATATAACTGATATTTACTTTCTACAATTGAACCTACTCACCTGTTCTTTCCACCGACCTCTCGACCTCGATACCACGCACCAATATTCAAAAGATGGTTCGGGTCGTTCTCAAATTCAAATTTCGTGAGAAATGAAAGGTAGGATGGGCTATGCATGTCATGCCAAAAATAGTGTTCTCATCCGAACCAGTACATTACTCTCCGGTACGATAACTTGCAGACCAACGCTAACTAATATACAAGTACAGATAGCCACGTAGCCGAACCTAGCGTCGTGGAGATTTGTGATCCTACCTACACGGGAGGCGAGTACTCTCCCGTCTGTCAACTGACGGATGTTCCCCACCCCTTGGGCCTTTCGGGTCCAGGTACCTCGAAGCCTCTATTTTCGAGCTGGAGATGCGTAGAACATTCCACGAGAGCTTCTATTGGAACTGGAGTTTATCAGCTAGCATTGCCTTGGGGGCTAGAATCGAAACATTGGACGTCTGTGTAGGTATATGAGAAGGTCTTGGCAGACAATGGTTTACAATAGTCCAATACCAGGTGAGTAAAAGAGGTATCTCCCGATTGTGGTTTCCCAGCTCCCCATATGGCGGGGAAAAGCTAGATCTACTGCGCCCCCGCCACAATCAATGTTTGAGGAGGATCGAAAAACAAGCTTCACCGCCAAGACTAAGGGTAGCTCGCTTAAAAACACCTTTAGCTTCATAATGGAGCGGATTTTGCTTCCGAAGCTGCAGGAACAAGCAGAAATATGTCAGGAACGGAAAAATGACCCGGTTACGAAAGCACACCATCGCAAGGTAAGGCTGCCTGCATGCCATTTTTCATGCGCCTTCGATCCTTCACTTACAATTGCCTTAACTGCTTAGTGGCAGCCTAATATTTAAAGGGGTTCAATAGTGTCCGTCCGAGCGAGCTGCCCGAGATCCTTGCACATGTTCGGACGGAATCAAAGCTTTTAGCAATCTGCATCTATCACGGGCCCAACTTTGTCTTTAATGGCGCACATCTGGTACTCAAAATGTTGGTGGGAATTAGACACAAAAGTAGATACATGTGTGAGCGGACTTTGCTGAGTCATTAGTCTACAGCGCCTGAAAACAACAAATTTGCTATGGTGGACACTTACAAGATGTGCGGGCCGGACTGGCCCTTTTCTTGCGATGGTCAAAGAGGAAAGCCGTGGCTTGAATCATATGGGCTGCATTTGGGCTGGGCAAGCTTGGAATGCACTCGACTCGCCTAGGTAACCTTGGGAATGCCGCGTCAATAAGCTGTATCGCTTAGTGGCATAGAGATGAAAGACAAGTATAATAATACGCAGCTCCCGAGTTGTTGATCATCTGGTCACAGCAGGACATTCAATTCCTTCCTCTCCTTTTCTGTTACATTACCACTCTTTATAGCCTCGGTCAAAATGAAACTTTTACACTCTCTTCCCCAAGCACTCATCAACGCCCTTCTCGTCGCATCAACAGTCCAAGGCCATGGCAATCATCACCACCACGCGAAAAGAGCAGCCAAAGTAGACAACTCCACGAAGGCGGAGGTTCACAATGAGCTTGTAAACTCACAAAACTACGAGGTTGGACAAAAGCTTGCAGCCGAATCTAAAATCAAACCTCTCGCCAATGTAAACGGCACCAACCAAAAGGCCAATACAACTACGGCCACCCCTCCAGGTGTTAAAACCAAGAAGATTACTGGTCTTTTGGAGCGCGTCATTAGCGACCTCAAGGAGGGGCCACTAGCAGATGCCGGGAAGACCAATCTTGGGAAAAGAGCAACAGTCACAGCAAATACCGTTAATAGCACTGTCTTGGTGATTGCAAGAGATGATCCACCAACTGCGGCATACCAAGCAACCTCTGCACTCAATGGCTATGGAATCCCATATCAGGTTCTCATTGTCCCCAAAGGTACTGCACCGGGTGGTACCAGCCTTCCACAGCTCAACAGCTCGACTACTGCTGGTAATTTCGGTGCTATCTATGTTATATCCGAAGTCAGTTATGACTACAATGGCAACTATCAGAGTGCATTGTTGCCGACACAGTGGGATACCATGTATGCATACCAGTTGAATTTTGGTGTTCGAATGGTTCGAATGGATGTCTACCCAGGCTCAACAGTTGGCGCAACTGTCGTCAACCCTTCTAGTCCTGGCTGTTGTAATGATGAGCAGTTGGTCTCCATCACCAATAACACCGGATTTCCTACAGCTGGATTGAAACTGTATGAACATCTTTTCACATCTCGCTCATGGTTCTCAAGCATACTAACAATCATAGCAACGCTGGTATGAGTACCCTCGGTCTTTACCACTACCCTGCGACGGTTACCGATCCTACAATCGCGACTCCTTTTCTGCAATTTGCCGCGGGTGCTGGATTCAACTCTCCAAGTACTGGTGGTGTGATCAATAACATCAATGGAAGGCAACAAGTATGTAAATTCCAATCTTTTGGTCCAGCGATACTAATTTGAAACTAGATGGTATTCTTTATCAGTTCAGGAGCAGAATTCCAAGCTACATCGGCGTTGCTTAACCATGCCTGGATCCACTGGGCTACCAGAGGTCTTTACGCTGGGTATCGTCGCATCAATTTTAACACTCAAAGTATGCTCTAAACCCCATATGTTTGAAATGGATTTAACAGAAGGTGTAGTTGACGACATGTTCCTCCAGACGGAAATCTACAACGAGACGGCGATTGCTCTCGGTGTTGACTCTCCTACCAATTTCCGCGTCAGAACAGCTGATTTGGTAAACCATGTGAGTTGGACGCCAAAAATACAAGCAGCAATGCCAAAAGGAAGCACCTATTTCATCGAAATCGCTCATAATGGGAATGGAAACATTGATGTAAGCAATCGTTCGGGAACAATCACATTTTCATATTAGATCTTTTACTAATTCCGACAGGTCGGCACCCAACTAGACTACAACCGGGATGCTGAGAAATGTGGCATTGGAGCAATCTATCTAGACTATGGTGATACCCCCCTGGAATTCCAAAAGCCTCTTGGTACCGGAACCAATAGATGGCCATCAACCCCATCCACATATCCATATTCAGTTGCCTGCACCAACGACGATACATTGAAGACATGGTTCGCAACAGCTGCCAACCGAGATGTCTTTGCTCACATGTCCCACACCTTCACCCACGAAAACCAGAATAACGCAACCTACTTTGATATTTTCCGCGAAATCACCTGGAATCAGGCTTGGTTGAACCAGACCACTCTCTCCAAGGCCAAGAAATTCAGCTACCACGGTCTCGTCCCCCCCGCCATCACAGGTCTTCACAACGGCGATGCACTCCGAGCATGGAGCGTCAACGGAATCACCAGCTGTGTAGGCGATAACACCCGCTCCGTCCTAGTCAACAAGCAGAACGAGCACTGGCCCTACATCACCAACGTGGCGGACAACGGGTTCGCAGGCATGGTAGTCAACCCACGATGGGCCCTAAGCATCTACTACAACTGTGACGTCCCCCAATGCACCACCGACGAATGGGTCAAATACTCCAAAGGGTCGGGTGATTTCTACAGCCTCCTCGACTACGAGAAGCGCACCAACATCCGTCGTCTCATGGGCCTCCACCACGACGGCTTCATGTTCCACCAAGCCAACATGCGGCAAACCGACGCCCCAAAAACCACCATCAATGGCACAACCGACCGCTACTCCCTCCTCCAAGCCTGGGTTGGCACCGTGGTCGCCGAGTACACGCGTCTCGTCAACTGGCCCATGATCACGCTCAAGCACGACGACATGTCGCAGGGCTTCATCAACCGCATGACGCGCGACTTGTGCTCCCCTAAGATGTCGCATACGGTTTCCGGCGGCAAGATCACCGCCGTGACGGTGACAGCCAATAAGAATTCGTGCTCGCAGCCGGTTCCTGTTACGGTTCCGGGATCGATTCAGAATTCGGGGCTTTATCGCACGGAGCAGATTGGGAATGATCCGTTGACGGTGTGGGTGCCGCTTTCGGGGAAGGCGGTTACGTTGACGTTGCTTGCTCCTATTGCTTTGTGATGGAGTGTGGTGGTTTGGTTGTGCGTAGCTAGGGATAAGGAAAAGAAAAAGAAGTCGGAAAATGGAATGATGGGGTTGCATGTCTGATTAAGTGTACTGTGTGTTTATGGGCTGGGAAACGGAGGGATTGGATGAGTGGGATTCTATTTTTTTGAGGTTGGGTTTCGTTGGGTTGGGGAAGGCGTCATGGATAGATGGATGGACGGCTGGGTTCTGGATATGGTGGTTGGCTTTGTTTGGTTAGCGATGTAGAGATAGATAGATAATGTTTAAAATGTAAAATTAGTTGGAATTATTTCTTTTCGTTGTATTTGATGTCACTTCTCACTGAGCCTCTCAGAGGCCGCAATAGAGGTCGTAAAACTCGACCGTATTCCTTCAGATTATACCCTCAGCAGGTCCCAGACTACCCGTGAAAAGAAATACAAGCTAACACGAAATCGAGTTGATTCTTAATTTGCAGTAGTAAAATTACTTTCTAAAACTCTTCTTTTCATATCTTGTTATTATTTGACGCTACGAGCTTACAAAATGAAAGTCCTTTTTAGGGGAGCAAACATCGTCGTTTCCTCCTTTCCTCCCTAGTTCTAAGAAGTTGATAATTCCCCATTATAGTGTTACAGTCCTAGTCAACTTTCTTTCCCATCACTGACTAGATCCAGATACATTGGGACCAGACCCAGCCGCAAAATCGCAAAGCCACAAAGCCACGCAGTCATCCATCGAGATTCTGGCATATCGCTCTACTCCACTTTTGACATCTTGGATCGCGAGGTGATCTCCATGTCTTTATCTGAGGGATTTTCTTCATTTCCTTGGAAGGTTTATACTTGGAAGGTCGAAGTTCCTTGGAAGATTTGGTTGGTATTTAGGATGATGGGATCGGGTCTGATCGATCGTGGCAAGGCGCGGCGCGGCGTGTTGGGGTATGCTTGTGATATGATGGATCTGGATTATGTCTGTCGTGCGATTGAGGGTAGATTGGGGGTAGAATAGTAAGAGGGAGGGGGTGTGAATGCTGATGGTGGATGCTGCTGGGGAGGGGGGGTTAGGAGGTTTAGGATGTTGAGGGTGTGTGGGTGTGGTGTTTGGCTGGTATGTACAGGTGGAACGAACCCCCCTTCCCCCCCCCTTTTTTTCCCCCTGAAATTCGGGGCGGGCTGATTAACCGAGTGTTGGAGTGTACTTTTTGCGACTATAGATACTTTGGGTGTATTTGGCGAGTTAAGATGTCATAATCCTTCGTGGGTTATTGAAANTTTTCCCCCTGAAATTCGGGGCGGGCTGATTAACCGAGTGTTGGAGTGTACTTTTTGCGACTATAGATACTTTGGGTGTATTTGGCGAGTTAAGATGTCATAATCCTTCGTGGGTTATTGAAATGATGTAAAAGCAGTACGGTACACTGGTTTGTTAAGAAGTGGTAAGACATTACATACTGTAATTTGAGATCTAAGACTCTAAGTAGGCTTAGGGTCCTATATAGAGAGTACTAAGATATAGGATGTAGTGAATGCTACGTGGCGGTGGAAACGAATCCCCCTATTTGGCATCTAGCGGCTCACTGATTAACCGAGTGTTACATTTTGTCACACGTCGACTAGTATTTTGAGCAGTCGGAAAGTTGACTGGTGTCCCTACTCACCATCAAAGGAGAAGTCGCAGAGATAACATGAGATAAACAAATCTCCATTGAATCATCAAACTATAAGGTACTATACTATAATATCCAATTAAGATCCAAGTATCATCCAAACATCCCATACTATACCTCCCCTACCCCACAGCACTTCAAAAATCCACATACCACTCCCAAAACATCAACACGCAAAAACAACCCAAACCCTACATCTCACTCGGAATGATAAAAATCGGATATTCCAACTCCCTAACCGCCTTGGGGTTACCCTCGATGGGCTTGAAATCAACGACTAGAGAGTCTTTGACTGCAAACACGGAGTCGTTTGCTAGATACGGATCTTCCGAGTCGAAGATTTGCGTGGTTACGGGTTTGTATCCGTCTTTTTGTACCTGGGATGTGTTTTAGCGAGAGACGAAAAGAAGAAAGGAAGAATAGAAGGTGTGAAGAGATGTGGGGTTTGAGGGGAACGAACGATGAGATGGATGTGGGCGGGTCGGTAGGGATGTCTGTCTAGAATCTCTAGGAGTTTTCCTGTGGGACCTGGGGGGGTGTTAGGCATCATTCATGGAGAAAGGGAGGGGGAAAGGGGCTTACTGACCGTCGTTGGGGACTGGGTATGGTGTTGGTCGTAGGCAGTAGAATGCGTAGCGACCGGTGGAATCTGTCTTGAATTTCCCGCGGAGGTTGTGCTCGATTTGATCTTTGTCTTGTTGTTCGTAGAGGCCGTTGGTTGATGCTTGATGGGGTTAGTGTTGTGGGTTTTTGGGAATGGATCAGGATCTCAGTAGGAATAGGATATTGTTTTGAGATGGAAGGGATTCCAGCGCCTTGAAGACAGCCTCGGGGATGGGATGGTTATAGCTTGGATAGTACTAACCTTGCCACACATCAATCCACGCATCTTTCACAGGCTGCTTAGTCTTCAAATCTTTAACGATCCCATGCATATAAGTCATCTCGCCATCATCAACACCATGAACAATACTCGCCTCCATCTCCAAAATGGGGGCATCATGACGAAAAAACGGTCCAAGAATAGCACTAGCAGTCGCAGCATCATCCGCCTCAGAAGCTTGTTTGAAGGCAATTTCATCAACAAGACTAAAAAACTCCAATCAGCAATTCCAATCTTGCATTCTTCATCATTCATTGTAAACATTGTAGAATAACATACGATTCGAGACCAATGACATCACACATGAGCTGCCCCTCATTCCTCTTCTCATCACTCATTTTCCCCGCCCAATTCATCATCTCCACCGCCGCCATCCATTCCGCAACCGTGATTTCGTTCTCCCGCGCGAAATCATGGACGTGTTGGATGAGGCTGCCCATCACCTTTCGCACTCGTGGGCTGGCCTTGGGGCCCGTGGCTTCAATCACCTTACGTGTGAAGGTGGGGTCGAATCTTGAGGCCGGGCTTGCTCCATTTTGGTGGTTTGACGCCATGGTTTTGCGGTATAGGAAGTGTCGTGAGTGGTCGAGTCGTGGAAAGTAGGGATTGTCCTTGTCTCAATAGGTGCTTTGTTTTGCCGTTGTGGTGTGTTCGTACTTTACCATACTTAACCGGCGATTGCTTATGTGGTATTCGGTACCAACAGTGATGCTGACCATCAAGTGAGGTTTGTATGGTTGTATTCTTGTATCCATCTTCTCCGCAGAAGGATTCATTGATATGCCGAAGTCATCGTATTCCATTGGCCAACAAAGTTTGTCCCCGCACCACCATCAATGGGAGCCAACTTTAAATGGGGACAGATTTTATCGGCCTTATCTTGGTGGCGTGGGGGTCGCCATTGGGGTATAAAAACAGATTATTGTAGGAATCTCTAAGTACCCTGGGGGTATTTGTATATATTTCAATACTCTACAGCTATCTATATACTTCTGTACTAAGAATTACATACTTACCTAAGTAGTGTGAGTGAGAAGGTGGGGGATTACTGGGCATAAGAGATGAAGTAGGGACTTACAGAGCGGAATAACAGGTAGGAAAGACTTTTGTTTACAAGTATAGACGTAGTGGGTAGGAGTGTAGGAAGTACGGAGGTAGAAACAACCAAGTACGCACAGGTAGTCAGTAGAGGGAGCAAAAGTTGTAAAAGGAGTGCGGGGGAAGGGCAGCAATATATAGATGGAACACTCGGGTAGCTTAACCTCTTCTAAAAGTGGGGTGATACAAGTACTTGGAGAAATCAACGTCTGCCTACCTAGAGGGCCTAGAGCGTTTACAGTTTTTATCAGAGACAGTCCGATTTTATTGTTAGATTCGATATTCCTACCCCCACTCCGACATTTTCTGTCCTCCTGCTTTCAGAGGGCACATTTTTACAAAGTGGGTGCAGAAGCAGCTAAGACGGACATGGGATTCATCAGAAGGGTAACCCATTTGTAGGACACCCTTAATATCTATACATGAAACACAATTTTAATAGTCGAAGCCAAGGAATTTACTGTTTACACAATAATGAATGACAGTAAACGTTGGTTTGCATTTTTATATTGTCCCATTGGTTCCGGGTTCGTTGAAGACCCCGGTAAACCTACTTACACCCCTGTATTATATGTTTCGGACTTAAGATTTCTCCTCTTCAAAATTCTGTCAGAAAGGAAAACATTACCACAGCAAAACACCACCTGACCCTTTGTAAATACATATCCAATTTCACATGTGCTCGCTTATTGCTAGCGTCACAATAGACTAGGTACGGCCCGATTAGCGAATAAATCTGCCTGCCTTTAACCTGATCCCCCGCCTTCATTTCCCTGTCATTTCCCCGCACTCCGCTTAGCCAGACCTGACCCCAGAATTTCACGGGACCATATTCCAGGAACGGATGAAGATCCACGGACTTGCGCCGCCTTTCAATTAAGCATCCACCAATCGCTCATTTAACGAAGCTTCTTAAAGTTTCTTTGCTCGGTGAACCCGCTCGTTTCGTCAACTCGCTGTGGAGGAAAAATTGGACAAATGCCGGATGAAGATGAGTCTACTGATCGTTCACTTCGTGTAATGATTGGCACATAAAACTCTTTCCGCCGGCATGACGCCTTGGTGAGGACTCCAAGACTCGTGAAGAGAGACGGCGCAGTCCTTTCTGATGAAAAAGGGCCGGGACGAAATAGGCAAGAGGAGAAGCTCGGTGCTGATTATTGTTTTCATTTAGTTCCTTATAAGAGGTGAGATGTATCCATTAAGAGGGAAGACCAGGTAGGCGGTTTTGGATCTACAACCCAAATTACGTCCTGATGGCTTCTTTCAGTTTGGCCAGGCACCTTCGCCAGGCGATCCTCCTTGCGATCTGGTTCTTGGCTTTCGTCTTTGCATCACCGTTGGAGAAGCGAGCTACTCAAGTGTCCTTGATCAACTACAATTTCCAAAACAATGTACTCTCTGGATCGATCAATGTATGTTCATCCCTGTCAATTCTTATGAGATATTAGTCTAATCATATCATAATTAGATTCAAAATCTTGCCTTTGCAAAGGTAGTCAACGTTGTCTATGCTGTAGGCAACACATGGACTACTTCACAAAGCATTCCGGCTAGCTTCTCAGCTGCAGGCTCAAATGGTTATGAGACCTGGACATTCTCCGGAAATGCCAATGGGGCAACTCAATTCTACATCAAGTACGATGTGAGCGGTTCATCGTAGGTTTCCAAACTCAAATTACTTAATGAACACAGCTGACTATGCAATAGATACTACGACCCTGGAAATAACGTCAACCACCAGATCAGTGGAAGCTCACCGCCCCCTTCCACAACTAGTACTCCTCCTCAGGCTCCTACTAGCCCACCACAACCACCCACCACTCCATTGCCTCCTGGAGCTCCACCTTCACCAAGTCAGCCACCTTCCATCATCCCAGCCAACATCCCAAGCGAGAGTCCCGCCACTCCACCAACTGGATGTGGAAACTGGAATGGAGGAGACAGCTGTCCAAACGATGGTACCTCCGCATTTGCAGCCTCATCAGAAAGCCGTCGTTGGCAGACTCCACCTAGTGGTGGTCCAGGATACGATCCAAGTTTCGGTTCCTACCGCGACCTGGTCGGTTACGCAGACATCCAATACAACTCAGGTCGAACATCAGCCGTTGTTGTCATTAACGCTGCTTCAAGAACCGGAGAAACAATCTCGTACGCGTTCAACGGGGGTGCTGCACAGTCGAGCAACTCTTTCCAAGTGACAAACAGCTTTTCCAATGCCCTTTCTATGAGGCTTTCGACACCAAGTGGGAAGACACTTACTTTGGATCCAATCAACTTTGTTTGGCAAGCAGCTCCTCTTACTGCTGCTCAGAGCACTTTCCAGAATGGCCAGAAGGGTGGTATCGTTGAGCTTTTTGGATGGCCTTGGGTTGATGTTGGAAGGGAGTGCGCCTTCTTAGGCAGAGCAGGATATATGGGTGTCAAGATTTGGCCTCCAAATGAGCATGTTTGGGGATCTCACTACGTAAGTCTTGTGATTCATTCATAACACACAAGTTATCTAACCATAACCCATCTAGTACGAGCCAGACAAGCAATTCCGCCCATGGTACTTTGTCTACCAACCAGTCAGCTACAAACTCCAATCTCGAAGCGGTACCCGCGCAGAGCTTCGCACCATGATTCAAGCCTGCAGAGCTGCCGGAGTGCGAGTCTACGCCGACGCAGTGGTAAACCATAGTAAGTCCTCGCTTACCAACTTCCCCCTAAACATCCCACTACACCATCAAAAACAAAAATGAAAAAACACAAGTACTAACTCCAACCCCCAGTGGTCGGCCAAGGAACAGACGTCCAGAACCATCGCAACTCAGACTGCTCAACATACAGCGGCCACAACGCAACCGCCAACTCCCCCTACTACACATCAGGCAACACCTTCGCCCTCAACCCACAAACCGGCACCCGTCCCACCATGGAATTCCCGGCCGTACCATGGGGACCAACAGATTTCCACTGCGAGCGCTCCATCAGCTCCTGGACCGACATGAACCAAGTGACGAAAGGGTACCTAGTTGGCCTCATAGATCTGAACACCGAGAAGCCCTACGTCCAAGATCGAATCGCAAGTTACCTCGTAGACTTGCTCTCCATCGGGTTCTCAGGGATGCGCTTCGACGCTGCGAAACACATTGGATCGGAGTCTATGGCGGCCATTCTGGCAGTTGTCAGGAAGAAGATGGGTGGAAGTATGCCTCCTGATTTCATTGCTTGGATGGAAGTCATTCTCGGTGGTGAAGCGGCGGTTCTTGCCTGCGACGGGGGACGAGATAGTTGGTACACGAACTTCGATCGCTTGCTTTCCGCTCAGGGCTTTACCTCTTCCGAGATCTCTCAAATCAAGGTCTGGAGTTCGGATTATCCCAAGGAACATCCTATCTGTGGAAACTGGCAGATTCCACCATCCCGGTTCGCCATTCAAAACGACGACCACGACCAACAGAATCCCGTAAGTCCCCCTTCCCCCATACATTTCGCCATCCCATCTCCTACCTCTCTAGTCACTAACACAAAACAGGGCTCCTCCTCCCGGGACATGCAATCCTTCGGCTCGGTCCTCATCCGCGAAAAAGACATCCCCAAGCACCGCAACTTCGAAGTGAACCTCTTCGCACGCCGCGACAACGACTGGTGGATCAAGCTCGTGCTTTCCTCCTACTACTTCATGGACAACGGGGGATCCGGGTTCCCAGACGGGTTGTCGGATTGTTCTTTATTCACGGGCGCGGGACCTAGAGGTGATTGTCTGGGTATGCCCAAGGATACGGCGTTTGTGGAGAGCTCTTGTGGGTATACGACGGGTCAGGGGAAGTATACGAGGGTCCATCGTGATTTGAGTATTGTTAATGCGATGAGGGCGTGGGTTGGTTTGGGAGCTACTAGTGCTAGTGCTTTGGGTATCCCGGGGTGTACATAGGATTCTCGGGGAGGTGGTATTTGGGCGAAGGGGAGGGAAGAGAGTTCTTTTCTTTGTATATATTAAGGATATTATGATTTATGATGTTTGCTGTTTTTTCTGTTCAAGAAGTGGGGTTGTAATTCCATATATCTTACTATATAAAGAAACAGCGTAGGAGCAAACTACTTAACAACTCGAGTACTACTTAGGGTCACTCAGAGTTGAATTGAGTAGTAGAATCGACTGCTCGAGTAGTACTCGAGTAGTGTAATAAAACGTGACTTAGTTATCCTACCTTACCTACTTCCGGTCCCTTTATGATTTATCTTATCCGTAATACAAGGGCACTCGGCTAAGTCCTAATATTATAAGAACAAGGGTATTTCTATTGCTAAGAGATGCTTGTTTTCAAGCATCAAGGTAGTAAGCGGATACGACGAACTTGAAAATCGGAACGTACATTTGCTTAGTCAAGGGTATAGAAGTCAGGGGTCACCATGTTTATCCGTATTACAAGTAACAAATACCAATCGATCAGAAATTGTTAGAATTAAAAAACTACGTATTTCCTCATAGGCTTTTTCTACGCCTTGAAGTATTTGATTTGCTCCATCCATCATGTTACACACCATTCGTAAAACCTCATTATTTTCAAAGACCATGCGTACGCCTGTAAAGCAAACGCCACCCCCATCCAAAAAGCAACACCCAGCAGAAAAAGTCAAATCCCACCAATCTATGATGCTAAATGGTTCAGAATCGAAAAACAACGAGCCCTTGAAGGAAAGAGTGTATGTACAAGATGCAGCTTGGTCAATCTACCAATCAAGTGGCTCTTTGATCACCTCGCCACGGTTGGTTTTTGGAATGGGAACAGCTTTGACCGAAAGCTTTCCGTTCTTTCCACGCTTGAGGTAAGAACGGCCATCCAACCATGGGGTGTTGGTGGTCATCTTCTTCTCGAAAGACTGGATCTTATCCTCCATCTGCATTGTCAACCCGATATCATCGAGGCCATTGACGAGACAGTGCTTTCGGAACTCCTCTACTTCGAAAGAGCAGATCTTCTTGCCGGTGCTATCGTTAATGGACTGGTTAGGAAGGTCAACCTCGATTTCCTTGCCTGCCCGAGCCTCAACAGCAATAGCTTCAAGGTCGTCCTTGTTGCTGATGATGATAGGAAGCATGCCGTTTTTGAAGGTGTTATTGAAGAAGATATCGGCGTATGAAGGTGCAATGACGCACGTGATTCCGAAGTCCAAAAGAGCCCAAGGAGCGTGCTCTCTGGAAGAGCCACATCCAAAGTTTGGACCCGTGACAACGAGGATCTTTGAATTTCGATATGGCTCTTGGTTGAGGACAAAGTCGGCCTTTTCACTGCCGTCTTCATTATATCGTAGACCGTAAAAGAGAGCCGAGCCGAGGCCAGTACGCTTGATGGTCTTTAAGAATTGCTTAGGGATGATGGCATCGGTATCGACATTGGCACGCTCAAGAGGAGCGGCGAGACCTTTGACCACAGTGAACTTTGGAAGTCCCGTAGGAGTTTGAGACGCTGCAGTGTTGGTATGGGGGATGCCATTGTCCTCAGGTTGGTCGGCAATCATTTCTCTCTCGTCATCATCAGTCAAGGCTCTCTCATCGACGTGGGCCTTAATTTCAACTGGCTTTGGTGAGGCAGCACGAGGTGTGGGGTTTGCAGATGCAAGCTTGCGGACATCGGCAAGCTTTCCAACAATTGCACAGGCTGCAGCGGTGACAGGGGAAACCAAATGTGTTCGGCCACCCGCTCCTTGCCGGCCTTCGAAGTTTCGGTTGCTGGTACTTGCACATCGCTCTTGTGGTGCCAAAATATCGGGGTTCATACCGAGACACATACTGCAACCAGCTTCACGCCATTCGAAACCAGCGTCGGTGAATATCTTGTCCAAACCTTCGGCTTCGGCGCGGTCCTTCACCAGACCTGAGCCTGGAACAATCATGGCACGCTTGACGTTGGCTGCAATCTTTCGTCCCTTAACAATTCCCGCCGCTGCTCGGAGATCCTCAATTCGGGCGTTGGTGCATGAGCCGATAAAGACTTTGTCAATGACGATATCCTCGATTGGAGTACCGGCCGTGAGGCCCATGTACTCGAGCATGCGCCGGCCAGCCTCCTTCTTCTCCTTGGTTGTAAAGGTCTCTGGGTCCGGAACGGCACCACTGATGGGCACGACATCTTCAGGACTGGTTCCCCACGTCACTGAAGGAGCGACATCTTTGGCACCTATGAAGACATCAATATCGAATTTGGCACTTTCATCCGTCTTGAGGCTTTTCCAGTAGGCAACAGCCTTATTCCACTCCTCTGAACCAAAATCGGGTGCTAGAGGTCTACCCTTGAGATACTCAAATGTGATTTCATCAGGGGCAATCATGCCGGCTCTTGCTCCTCCCTCGATTGACATATTGCAGATGGACATTCGAGCCTCCATGCTGAGTGCCTCAATAGCCGAGCCGCAGAATTCGATGACGGCACCAGTTCCACCAGCGGTACCAATCTCGCCAATAGCATGGAGAATGATGTCTTTGGAGCTAACACCAGGGGCAAGTTCTCCATCGACCTTGATCCGCATGTTCTTACTGCGCTTTGTGATCAAAGTCTGAGTAGCGAGAACATGTTCCACCTCACTGGTACCAATTCCAAAAGCCAATGCTCCGAATGCACCGTGTGTAGAAGTATGACTGTCACCACAAACCACGGTCGTTCCAGGAAGAGTGAACCCTTGCTCAGGACCAATGATATGGACGATACCTTGACGCTTATCTCCAAGGCCAAAGTATGTGATACCAAAGTCCTTTACATTATCCTCGAGGGTCATACATTGTAATCGGGAATCTTCGACGTCGACGAACGATTCGATGTTCTTGAAGGACTTTCGGGAGGAAGTTGGTACATTCTGTATGTCAAGTCAGTGAGTACATGTGTTTTGCAGATGGAGGCATTGCCATGGTACATACATGATCGGTTGTTGCAAGAGTACAATCTGGTCTTCTGACCTGTCTCCCAGCGTTCTTTAACCCCTCAAAAGCTTGCTGTGTGGTATCAGCAGGTGATTTCCTCCGACCGGATTTCGGTATGGCGTTGACTTACTGGTGAGGTAACTTCATGGACCAAGTGTCTGTCTAGAGGGATATTAGAACTTGCAATTGATTCTTATACAGGCAAAGGTTTGCTTACCGATGTAGAGCAATATTGTGCCGTCAAGTCTCTCATCTACGATGTGGTCTTGAAAAACCTTATCGTAGAGAGTTCTTGGTCCTCCCTCGGCTGCGGGCATTGTGTAGATGCGATTGCCAAAGCAAACGAGTGCTACAAACTTGGATGATTTGGTCAATGGGCGATGAGGAATTGTAGACAGTAAGTTTAGGAAGCAAGAAAAGCCAAATTGGAATTGTTGACAGAGTGGACAAAAGAAAGAGTCTCAAATAGTGCGGGGGAGAGCGAGATAGGAATGAGTTTATTTCCCCATTGCTGGAGGAAGCAGTTTGAGAACCACCCTCCCCTCCGATTTCGCTGACGCTTGTAAAGCAATGTAGATCATTGGCTCAAAGCGTGGCATCTCTTATGCACCTACTGCAGGGTTCTAACAGAGGCCGAGTGCGGCCCCCAGCCCCTCTTTTTCCCCGCTTATTGTCGGATCAAAGACAGCCGAAAAACTGCCGGTGGGGTAGGTTCCATTCCTTTTCTAGTAACACAAGAAATCAGGAAAACAAGTTGAATTCAAGACAACTCAGAGTAATCTATCAATCTGAATAGAAAGGTGGCAAGAGTATAATAATAGGGCTTCCAAATTACAGGAGGGATATTCTTCTGCACATTAGTACTCCCAATAACATAAGAATGGTGTTCATGGTACCCAATTGTCTATATATGAGGTAATATGCATGCGGTGAACACGTCATTGGTTATAGAAACTGCTTAAACATTCTTGAAATCTTGTTCATTCATTTGCCCCCTGCTATCTTTAATGGAGCAAGCTATGGAAGCAATTTTACGTTTGGCAGATGAGGCGACGGATGCTCATTCGTTTTCTGAAACAGAGGCTTGTGGGAGCCAAGTTAATTACTAGTCTGACAGTTCACAGGCGTTTTGATTTCATGTCTGTTCAGCCGTTCCCGTCTTAACTTCCAATGCCTTTTAACGCCGTCTTAATAGAATATCCAATGTAGGGCAAAGCTACTACTGACTTTACTCTCTTGTTTAATTTTTCTCTCAAAATCCATCTCATTCTACATAAATGTTATATCCAATCTGTGCACACTCTTTGTCCATGAGTGTCTGTTTGTGTGACTGTGTCTATGTGTATTAAAGAAAACAGATAAACGATTTTAACTCCACTTTGAGTACTTTTACATTAGTTCTCGAATTTGACCTATGGCATTCAAGTCCATTTTTTTTCATAAGTAAAATCAAGTTACACCTTAGATCTAGCCGAGTCCAGTTTCCTGAATTGCCTGAATTTCCCTCTCGCTTATTTAGGAATCTTACCCCTGATGCTCGATTAGGCACCTCATAGTGGATAAAAAGCTGCAATAATTATTCTACATCCATGAAAACACTTCATAGTCAATTCAAGAACCTAGCTCAACCGCGCGAGAAAATCTAGAAACATAGAATGTTGAGAGAGAAATTTACTTCATTTTTACTTCATTTCGTGACCTTCACCAGTACACCCAAAGAGGATGATTGCTCTGCTAAACTCATCAACGCCTATCCCTCACTCTCCATGAAAATGTCCAGCAGCCGATCCATAGCCTCCTGTCTCTTCTCACCACCCACAGTCTGCAACTCCCCATAATCAAACCGGGGAAACAACTGAGGATCCAACAACACATCTGCCGAATCGACCTCATGTCCACCATCCCCAATACGTTTGAGAAGCCCGTTGATCTCTCCCTTGAAAGGATTATCGCGTCTAGGTGTGATGGGCAAGAAATAGATTTCGGTCGTTGCGGTGCCTAGTCTTGCTTCAATGCGGAGTCCGTCACGCTGTTGGGGATATTGGACGTGCCAGCCAACGATGAGGCCTCTTCTGGTGCGGTGTTCGATCAGGTCCACGGTATCGGGCCAGGAGGGAGAGGTGTATGTTTTGTCCGTTTCGAGGGGTATGTTTGGGGGGTTGTTTCTTCTTGTTTCTGGTCCTGCCATTTCGGAAATGACGGTGTTTGTCCTTAGTCTGTCCACGGCGGTATGAAGAGGTTTAGGACGGTGTTGAATATCCTCTCCCTCTTGCGACTCCTCTTCTTCCAGATCCTCCTCTCGAACCCTCGTTCCTCGCACTCCCAAACTTCCCTCATCCTCATCCTCAGAGCTGATCAGTGAACCACCTCCATACGAGCCAAAATTTCTCCTTCTCTTCCCTCCTGTAACATTCTCAAGACTAATCTTAGAAAAGGAGCTCCCGATCAATGCAGGCGAGTCACCGGCCTTTCGGGAAGAATAACTAGATCTCGATGATTGCATTCTCGGCGCGGTGGAGACGTTTGCAAAATCACGGACCGTGTTGAGATCAAGTTTGGAGGGGAATTTCCTGGTTTTGGCTTCACTCATGGCACCAGCCTTTGGGGCAAAGCCGCTAGCTTCCGATTTACGCCTCGTCGACACCGCGACGGTATATTCACTACTTAAATTAGAGGTCTTTGAACCAGTTTTAATGGATAGCCCTTGCTCTAGACTTCCCTTTTTGGACTTCATATTTTGAGCGAGGCCACCAGTTTCTGAATTTCGCTTTCTTGGCCCCTTGATCAAGTTGCCTTTGTGAATACCAAACGTATTTTTTCCAAATTTGGGAGGAGCGTCGGATATGTTGTCATCGATGGAAAGAGATACAATGCTAGTTCTCGACGCTCGTCTTTTTGGCTCCTTGACAGCGGTTTCTCCTTGGGATTCAAAAGTTTTTGAACCGCCTTTGGGAGGACACGCCTCTCCTTCATCATGGCTGGAAATAGTAATAACTTCAGCTTCAGACGCTCGTCTTGTCCTGCTAGCGATATTTTCCGAACTGACATTCTTCTTCATTGGCCCCACAGACTTTACGGGTAAAGGTTCAGAGTCCTCATCTTCGTCCTCGGCCGTGTGATCTTGAGTTCGTCTGTTAATAACTGACATCGGCGTTTGATTTGTTATTCTTTTACGCGACGGAGGATCTTCAACTTCCTCCTCCTCAAATTCCTCCTCCTCATCACTACTCACATCCCCGCTCATTATCGAAGAGCGCGGAACTGGATTCCGCATTCTCGTTCCTGTCACGATATTCGCATTATCAACATTGCAAGTCTCTGGTCCGATTGTCTTATCAGATGCCTTGATTCCAGTTTTCCCTGACATCCTAGCAGCTCTAGTTCTCGTTCCGATTATATTCAGCAAGTACGGAAGAACTCAGACAGGGTGTAAAGGTAAAAAATCACTCGAGTGTTGGGAAAAGAGTGCTTGATTCTTGGAGTGACTACACAAAAGCAAAGTTTTCCAACGAGGGCAAGATTCAGATCCACATTAAGATGTAAGAGACAAGGGGCAAGGAATACTTATACTTCTCAATTATCATTTGCTTCTTTTAAAGAAAGTCGATTGCTTACATGTCAAATATATCATATGCGCCTCAAGAAACAGCCAGCTGGCAGCAACAATCTGTAGAAGAAAACGATGTCAAACTAATGACCATCTTCAAAACAACATGAAATAGGCTATAATATCACAAGATCTCGAAATCTCGCTTTCATAGTATCCGCTATCTCCTTTGATGCCATACACTAGCAAACAGACAGGTAATCCACAAGACCAGCTATTCGCATGACGTTGCTTTAAGCGCAAATTTGAGGGTCAAACATATTCATCGTAAGATAAAAAATGTAGTGAGGTACATGTTATTTACTCAACATATCCCTCGCAAAGTACATATCCCTATACTCATCCCATAATCACAAAATCATGTCCACAACACTACCACTTCCACTTTCACTTCTGAAAATTAGTTCAACTATCCAAACACCCTTCCAACCCACTAACTCACCCAAACACCCCAACATCTCACAAAAGGAAAGGTTTAGTTGGGTATCTATAGGGATAAGTTGGAATGGAACTATGTTAGTATCGAGATGGGAGACACTCAGACATCATATTTCAACTAGTAATGCTTTACTGGAAGTCCTGCAATAAGAATGGTAATTATTTAGTGCCGGGAGAGTATCAGAAAAGAATCTAAGGGGGGTACAGATTCTATAGAAAAATGATATAGTAATTAGCTCGCGTAATGGATTTAGTTCTATGTATGAGGAGGTTAAAAGGATACAACGAGACTTAGCTATGCTGTTCTGACATCTGTATGCCCTCGATTACTGTCTCCACTATACCTCACAAAAAGAAATATCAAAAAAATATCATCAATTCGCTCCCTAAAATTTCAGCGCCCACAAAACCACACTTGCTAACGAACATCTACTCAATCAGCTTCTGCTCCGCAGGCGCAGGCTTCTCATCACCAAGCAACAACTTCACCGCCTCAACCGTAATCTCCAGAACCTCTTGACTCCTAGATTTCTTCAGACACTCCTTCAGCGCATCCACACCCCCCTCCTCCCTCACCTTCTTAACCCCCCATTCTCCCACCTTCCCAGGCGCCGTAAGAACATTCAAGACACAGACCACACCTCGATGTCTCAGCTCCTCTCCTTTATCCTTACACATGCCCAAGAGCAAAGAAACACCACGATCCCGCTCCAGAATCGCATTCACAGCCGTGTCCCACTCCGTCAAACTCGCCAATCCACCGCCTGCCGCTCTCCTCGTCTCGAAATCCTCCGAGTCGGTAAGGGCGAGAAGGATATGCATGCGGTGGCTTGCTTGTTTACTTCCATCTGCGAATTTGGCTACACCTTCCGGTGATTGCATGAGGTTGCAGATGAGCTCCACCGTTGCACAGGTGATCATTTTGTTGTTTGAAAGGAAGAGTTCTTCGATCTGGGGGAAGGCGTTGCGGATTATGGGGTTTCGTGCGGTGTCGTCTGTGGAAGCGAGATTGGTGAGAGCTAATAAGGATTCAAATACTGGGAGCAGATCGCGTTGTTCTGATGTTGGGTCGTCGGAAAGGAGGAGTAGAAGAGGCCGAATAGAAGAAGTGAGAGGTAGAGGATTTGAGCCTCCGAAGATGTGAAGTGGATTGGTTGATATCAGAATCCGTGCCAAAGCATGCGCTGTGGTCCGTCTCGCAGTCAGGCTGTCGTTTTCGAATATCGAATAAGCGTGTAAGAGAAGTTTGACTGCTCCTTGTTGTGCCATCTGTCCTCGAATTTTTGAAGTCTTCGAAAGAGAAAAGACGATTGAAACTACTATTGTGAGAGACGCTATCGAGCCATGTTGGCTGTGAGTGACTAGAACAGGAATAACACCAGCGTCAAAAACCGCTTGACATCGCTTGGAGACATGATCATCATCGTGGAGCGGATCTGGCGCTCCAGGAGATTTGGAAGCATTTGCATAAGCCTTTAATTGACTTATTTTCTTTTGCTCTTCGGTAAGCGAAGGCATGTAGACTGTGAGATTCATAAGAGTACTGAGAGCTCCATAAGTGGCAGGCGACTTTGGCGGTGCCTCGGCTAATGCCTTAATGAGACTTTTCAAAAATTGTTTGTCATTCGCCAACTTCTCTTTGACCTTTGGCTGTAAGGATGCATAGGCCAGACCTTCGATCGAACTCTGTTGGGATGATTCTGTGGAGAGCATGTTTTTAAACATCTCAGAAAGATCTTCCATACTCGTCGTTGCAGGTTGTATTCTCTCTTCTGTATCAGCAGAGGGCGCTGAAGAGACAACCTTCATAACCAAGTCAGTCATGGCACTTTGAGCACATTAACGACATTGAGATACATGGTAATTGAAATATTTCCTACCTGTAATTTTGCCAAAACAACAGCCGCCAAGTTCACAACGGAAGGAGAATGTATTCGTTGTTGAATGGAGCCATCTTCTACCACATGTGACAGGTCTGCAGCAGGTACGTCTGCAGGGGTAGGTGGAACGAAATTGACCATTTCTTCCAACCATTCTGTGCAGTATTTCTTGATAGCGTCTCGACAAGGAGTATTCATACAGGCCACATTCAACATTTCCAAAGCAGCCTGTTCCACTTTCCTACTCTTCCATTTTCGCTTCATCAAGGGTCCAAGACTGGGCACAAACCCCTCGCTAAGGAAAAGTGTGGCTGTAACATCAGGAACAATGGGAAATATCGACGACGCAACAGAGAACGCAAGAATGAAATCGTCATATGTGCCTTTCTGGACTCGAGAATAGAAGAATTGTGATAAATACTCGACACCCTTGTCGCCAGCCGCCTTGAGATATGCTGATGTGGTTAAGGTTGCATGACCCCTCACGGCCGGCGATTGGCGCATATCAAGATAACCCAGAACAGTTTCCACCGAGTCTAGATCAACCAGCTCGTACAAGGGTCTATGTGGCTCGGTAGACCTAGTTTCATCTTCTGAATCATCGGTAAGAAGTTTGGTGAGGTTATTGAGCTCTTTGCACGTATTTTCGTCCTCTTGACCAGCTTCCATTAATCCGGCCAGAAGTAAGATGACTCGATCTTCCAGTGAACCATTTTGGCTGCGGTCAAAAACTGAAGTAGGTGATGCTGGGACACTGGAGTCGAAAATCTCGTCAGTGGGAGTAGACGGCATTTTGGCCTCTGTTTTGATTTTCATGTTCAAGAGTAACTCTTGGACGGGTGTTTGGTTGACCATCGATGATCGTAGATCACAGAGGAGGGTGGCTTGACAGAAAGTGCAGGTGCAGTACAAGTGCAGTGAACATCACATATTTTGGTGGGGCAAGGCCAATTTTTGGGTGAAGGGGCGAAAGACGAGAAACTGCACCCCTCAACGGCTGGAACAATAATGATCCGATGATGGCCCCACTTTCAAGCATAAATTCCATAAGGCTGTGCCCAGACAACCAACTTCCTCCCAGTGGTGAGGCTGTTGAAGAATCAAGGACGAGTGGCGTCGGATAGGAATTTGGAAAGTAGAAAGAAGACCGTGAATTGGAGATTTCAATGAGAACCCCATCACTCTCTCTTTCCGCCACTTGACCCTTCGCATACGCCTGGTCGGCTTCTACCTCCCTTGCACACTGAGCTGGAGGAATCTACCAAGGAATCTACCAAGGCTGAGGTAGCAGGAGCAGGCTGATATGCCACGATCAAAGTCAACATGGATCGCGTAGATGGAACTGATCATTATGAGGGCGACAAGCAAGGTTACTACTGCTCTCCTGTTCCTTGTGCTTCCACTGTATACTAAGAAAGCACAGGTCCTGGTCCATCGCTGCTGGTAATAGTTCTCGATACCAATCCCCACGCCTGGGCACTCCTCAACCCAACTCTCCCTCTCTCAAAAGCCATATCAAATCTCCTCGTCTTCATAAACGCCCACCTCGCCTCACATAATGCCAACCAAGTAGCGGTAGTAGCAAGCCACTGCCACCGCTCAGTATGGCTGTACCCTCGTCCCGAACCACCCTCCGAAGATGTCGAGATGAAGGATAATGCACCTGCACTGAACGACGCAAACAAATACCGTCCCTTCGCCCTAATAGAAGACAGTCTCTTGACCTCGCTCCGAGAACTAATTTCCACCACAACAGAAAACGACATCAGCACAACAAACACCACCCAAATGGCCGGATCCCTCACCCTGGCACTAACATACATCAACAAAGCCACACTCCTATTCTCCGACTCCAACGTCACCTCCGAACCCATGAGCACCACACTCGAAGGCCCCGAAAATACCACAGGTCTGCAGAGCCGAATCCTAGTCATTTCCGTCTCGGGAGATCTGGCACACCAATATATCCCTATAATGAACACCACGTTTGCGGCTCAACGGATGAGAGTGCCAATCGATATCTTGAAACTAGCGGGGGATACGGTATTTCTACAACAGGCGTCGGATACGACGAAGGGGATATACATGCAACTTCGGAATCCACAGGGGTTACTACAGTACCTCATGATGGCATTTCTACCCGATCAGACGAGCAGGAAGAATCTCGTTGCTCCTACACAAGAAGTTGTAGATTTCCGAGCGGCATGTTTCTGTCACCGAAAAGTCGTGGATGTCGGGTTCGTCTGTAGTATCTGTTTGAGCAGTACGTCTCCTTCTCTCCCTTCCCCCCTTCCATACTTCAATACAGAGCGACCCTTAACACAAAGCATAGTCTTCTGTTCCCCATCCGAAGGAGCAATCTGTCTAACCTGCTCCACCCACCTCGCCCTCGGCGACTACGGCTCCAAACCCGCCGTAGTCCCGCGCAAAAAGAAGAAGAAGAGGAAGCTCAACGGCGGCGTGGGGACGCCTAGTAGTAGAGGTGGAACACCCATGCCCAACGAATAAAGGGTTTCCGTCGAGGTAGTCAATATTAGGTTAGGGGAAAAAATAGAATAACTTTATAGCAATATATCAATGAGTCGTTGATACCAAACCAAACCCCAAAAACTCAAACCCTCCTTTCGCCTCTTGATTCAATTTGATCTGTATACTTCTCCTTTCCTCATCTTTTTGAATGTTTCCACTTATACCGCCTCAAAGCTTTATATTACGTTGATCTTTGCTTGTATTCGATACCAACTACTCATAGTAAGACATGCTCCACATACCAAAAGGGATATCAAGATCTAATGCCTAACCTAAACAAATAAAAAGATAAAGCAAAGCGGAAACTAAAATCTAAACATTTTAATCACAATCTAGGTACTGATCAAAGAGGAGTGAATAGAATCTCTCCCTTGTGACCCCTCCCCCTTTTCCAGACCGCTTAGCGACGGTTGCCGCTGGCTGAACTCGGCTAAGTGTAAACAAAGATTCACTCAGTACGATTTCTGCAGTCGTTGTGCTCTCACAGAATACCCATCACTCAATTACAACACAACATTTATTAGGCACATAGTATATCTCATGAAACTTGATTCTTAGGGCAATTTATCTAGGGTATTTTAACAATGCAAGAAAGGAGGCTCATCATCGTTTTCCTCGTAGTCTCATTTCTCATCTCTCGTTTCTCATCTCTCGTTTCTCATCTCTCGTTTCTCATCTCTCGTTTCTCATCTCTCATCTCTCGTTTTGCGTTCTTCATTTCTCGTTTCTCATATCTCGTGGGTAACAGCCACCTGCATACCGGCAATTTTCAGTCAATTCTGATTCTTCGTCCACCTCGAACGACTTGGCCAAAGTCACCAAGGCGAGACATGACGCATTTGGGCTCCCTCTCAGTAGAGGTCATAGAAGCTAGAGCGAAGGAGTCAGTGTTGTGAGCAAAGTGAAGAAAATATCCATATATGCTCTTCTTCACTGCCATGACACCAATAGCACCAGCAGAGTTACTTCCAATGACTCCAGGGTGACCCATGAAATCCGCAATAATAAAAGACTCCATTGCCTCTTCGTCCGTCGCTATAATATCCTGACCACTTCGAGCTCGTCTAGTGTTGTGGTATAAGCGGTCAGCACACTTTTGAGATGCCATGGTGGTAGCCATGTGCTCTCCTGTTCCGCTGGTTACTGCTGCAACAGATACGCTCTCAGGGTCATTTGCGTCAACTGGTACTACTGCCGTTCCAATACCAACTAGTGCAGCAGGGCCAACACGTCCACTGTGTTTCATGCCAATTCCGCCCGATGAAGAACCAGCAGCAATGTTACCATACATGTCGATAGCAATGGCACCAACCGTGTCTGTGATCATATCCTCCTCGACAGGTTGAGATAATTGTTCTTGACCAGGGTCTTGACATTCAAGTACTCCAGGAAGACATGGTTCAACCGGTGGTGATGCTGAGCCATCATTGTTATTGGGTGGGACTTGTAGTGTACCATCGTTGGTAGTCATGTATGTATCAGCCGAACTCTTGCTGCTGAGCTTGTTGAGACCGAGCAATGAACGAGAACGGATTTGACTATCGCTGGCTTGTTTTCCGTGTCGTGGACGCTTGGCTGGAGAAATATCTGGAGAGGAGCTTCGTGGGTGGACTCCAACTCCAAGAGTAGGCGCAGCAGCGAGACTTGCGGGGCTTGGAGTTCGGCGGGAGGATGTATTGCTAGGGTCTGAGGGAGACGATTCGATGCCAGGAGTTAGCTGGGGAGAATCAGGTTGGCCTTCGTTCCAAGTCCCATGCATGATAGCATTCATGTGGTCACGGCGTTGTTGGCTTTGAATTCGCTCCTCATACTGACGATCGATACTTGTTTCGCTGGAACTGGGTGTCATGCGGCGACTCTTTTCAGCGCGGTCTAAATCCTCTCGCCAACGAATAAAGCGATCTCGGGCATTCTTGGAAATGATAAAGTCATTGGGAACAACCAGAATTCCATGCGAGGATGCGAATTCAGTTGCGCCATCACCGACAAGGAGATTGGGCGGGACTCGTCGAAGAGAGAGTGGTTTATTGGAGGCATCTAGAATGGTTCGGGCGAGATGTATGGGGTTTCTGATTTCTGTGATGCATGTTAGAAGGGTCTCGACCAAAGTTCACGATAGATATGACTTACGAGCCGTTGCTCCACAAGCGCCACTTCTTCCCAAATGATCAACGATAGTGGCATCGCATTCAACAATACCTTGGATGGACAGATTGCTGCCAAAGCCAGCATTAGTTATTTCCTTGTCTTCCAAACATCTTATGGCTGCTTCAACTGCATCTGTGGCCGTACCGCCTCCTTTCAGAAAACGCATGGCGATTTTAGCTGCACTGTGAGAAGGTTAGCCTGTATATAACAGAGGTACGAGCAATGATTTTCAGCTTTGGATGGATGAACGTACTCATTGCAGGCTCCCAAGTGGATATGCTCATTCGTGGTACTGTGATAACCTGCGCCAGCGTGTACAAAGATTGCGCAAACTGGAGTGCCTGGACTGGTCTTTCTTGTAGTTCTCTCAGCGGCACCATCAGTATCGTCCCAGATGCGATTGAACTCCTCCGAGTCCCACGACGAACGTGAGCGAGCTGATCGCGCGGAAGGACTTGAAGGAGGATCCATGGTGATTGCTGGCAGAGGATGGAGTTTGATTGGCGGAGGCGCAATCACCGACCACTGGCTCGTGGTAATGATGGGAAGTGAGGGTGAGGTTGAAATGTCGGCAGCCTGAGATATTTGAGATTTGCGGAAGGGGTAGGAGAGACGGCGTGAAAACTGGCGCAGTCGATTCCTGGCTGAGGTGAAGCGCGTAGAAATACTCGATTCGTTAGGTCCTGCTGCCGAGTTCTGCATTGGGTTTGGAGAAGTGAAGCAACCTAGAACCCTTCAACTTCAGAGAGATATTGTGGCGTGGTGCTGCTTCGGATCAAGCGAGGGGGGGACTGCCCAGTAAAGAAATGTCCGAATGACTGAGAGGTTCAATTTGAGAATATGGTTTGGTCAATTTGGCGGGTGGTAAGTATGCCAGTCCGAACTGTGATTTCGTGAGATGCCAGCCAACCTAGAAGATGTAGCATCAGCACAACCACTTTCCACACGGAGAAAGAAAGCTGGGCAATTGCAATGGCTACATACTCCGGGAGTAATAGCTGATATCCAAATTTCGTTGGTCACAGGAAAAGAAAAGTGTAGGTATGAGTACAAGAATAGGTCCCGGGCAGGAGTAAAGGTACTGAGGTGAGCGATGTGTTGTTTTTTCAAGAAACACCTGAATACAATTACAGAAAGGCTTCCTGTGAGAGCAAAAGAAAACGAGCGTCGTTGAGTCCGAGACTGAAAAAAAGAATGGTTACGTAACGGTCTGTAGATATTGGCTGGCGGACAGAATATCTCAGGCGGGTGCTGGATGACAGCGAAAATATGTATGTAGGAGGTTGGGAAAAGGGAGAGAGAGAGGAAGTCGGATATTTACACTGTCTTTTCGTCTTCGTCCGTTATTTAACTCTAAGCGGCAGGCGCGTTGCAACCTGCTCCTGCTACTTGATGGCCATCAAAAGAGAACTTGAGCTCTGTGGTGGTTGCAAGTATGGATACCGCTGAAGGCTCCTCCCCCAAGCCTCTCGAGGTCTCTACTCCGCTCCAAGGTTCTGTCAAGGTGAAGTGCTTTGTCGGCTAGTGAGGCTGTCGAAGTCCCTCTTTCCTCAAAAGGATAGCTGGGGGAACCTCGGCACATACAAACTCACGTGACAGAAGATATGGGTCCCGGGGTCCTTACGATAGGCCAACTCAAACCACACTGGGCGGTAGAGAGGCTAGCAAGCCTGCGTAGCTACGGGAACGATCACAGCCCAACGACAAAAATACTCATTCCGCCTTAAGAAGCTGTCGCATAGCATCTCCAAAGCACTGGGAGTGCAAAGCGCGGCCCAAACTTCGCTATGGCTTCCCATACTCCCGCCGTTGTCATGGACAAGTACGTACTCCATTCCTGAGAGTAGTGAGTAGAGTAGAGAGCAGGGGCAGTGAGCTGTTGGATGTAGCTTCTCTAGAAGTTTTTAGGTGTTTCTATAATTGCTAATGGTATATCTGTAGCGGTACTGGCTTTTCCAAGCTGGGTGAGTTCCCCTGATTCCCTCGAATCCCAGTCGCCGACTGACAATAATATGGCACAGGCTTCGCAGGCAACGATTCTCCGTCCTTCGTCTTTCCTACCGCAATAGCGACCAAAGGACCTGCGGCAGGTGGAGCAAGCTCCGGATCTGGTCGTCCAGCGGTAGCCAACAAACCCTCATATCTTACGGGGGGTGCTGGTCCGGGTGGTCATTTATCGATGAAGCGCGGAACGGAAGATCTGGATTACTTTATTGGAGACGAAGCCCTCGCTGCAGCAAATGGACCAGGTATATTGGCTTAGGTGGAGGATTTTATGGCATACGCTAACCATGGCAGGTTATGGAATCCATTATCCTATTCGACATGGTCAAATCGAGAACTGGGTAATGAACACTTCAGCCTCCTCGCGGCCTGGAAGCTAATCTAATGCAGGATCATATGGAAAGATTTTGGTCCAACTCCATTTTTAAATACCTCCGCGTGGAACCAGAAGACCATTATTTCCTTCTAACTGAACCAGTATGTTCCGGTCCCTCCTGTCTATGAAGAGCTGTTCTGACCAAAGCCCCTAGCCTCTGAACCCTCCAGAAAATCGCGAGAACACAGCCGAAATCATGTTCGAATCATTCAATTGTGCTGGTCTTTATATTGCAGTGCAGGCTGTGCTCGCTCTCGCAGCATCATGGACGTCGTCCAAAGTCTCGGATCGATCCCTAACGGGGACAGTTATAGATTCCGGTGATGGAGTGACACACGTTATTCCAGTCGCGGAAGGTTATGTTATTGGCTCCTCGATCAAGTCAATTCCAATCGCTGGACGAGATATCACCTACTTTGTGCAGTCACTTCTTCGAGACCGCGGAGAGCCAGATTCCTCTCTGAAGACTGCAGGAGAGATTAAGGAAGAATACTGCTATGTTTGCCCAGATATTGTCAAGGAGTTTTCTCGATTTGACCGTGATCCAACTCGTTTCGTGAAGCACTTGGTTACACAACCCGGTGGCCGTCAAGTGTCTGTTGATGTTGGTTACGAGCGATTCCTTGCACCAGAAATCTTTTTCAACCCCGAAATTTACTCTTCCGACTTCTTAACACCTCTCCCTACTGTCGTTGATGGTGTGATTCAATCCTCGCCGATTGATGTGCGAAGAGGACTATACAAGAATATTGTGTTATCTGGAGGCAGCACACTATACAAAGATTTTGGAAGACGATTACAACGTGATATCAAGCATCTTGTCGATGCTAGAATTCGAGCTAGTGAGGCTAAAAGTGGTGGCGCGAAGAGTGGTGGCTTGGAGGTGCAAGTCATTTCACACAAAAGACAACGACATGGACCGTGGTTTGGTGGAAGTTTGTTAGGTCAAACACCTGAATTCAGAAGTTACTGTCACACGAAGGTATGTCTCACGACCAAATTTATTTTTTGGGTTCTGGGGAAGCAAACAATATGTTTTATTAGTACCTTATATTAACTTTATTCTAGGCCGAGTATGATGAGATAGGACCAAGTATCGTCCGAAGATTTGCACTATTGGGTGGTCCTGGAGGCTCATAGTGAAGGGGGCTGTGGGTACGGTTGATGAAAGCATAGGAAGCGAATGTTGAGTGAACCAAGAAGACTGGCGACAGAAGCCGATTCGAGCTCAGGGGACAAAAGCGATAGATGCGGCAGGAGCAAAAGTCTTCCTTTTTATGGCGATAGAAATGAAATCAATGATGATGATAGATGTTTATTTCAGAGCAGAGGAGCTACATTCTTTATTTAGGGGTGTTTTGATGTTCGAGTCTTTGTCTCTTTATATAAAGTGAGAGTTACAAGTGTATCCACCTGTCTCTTTTTTGTTCCTCGAGTATGAAAATACTCCGCCTGTTCTAAGAAAGGCACGTATTCCACTCTTAAGACTCCGGACGGCGAAATGGGTAGGTAAGGTATGTCAGATATGATATGTACAGTACCCCGCACCGCATGTAGTCACCGAGATGGTTTTGGATTTGGTTTTCCTGTTCGTTCTGCGGGGGTGGGGATATATATGCGTTTCACTATGAAAATCTAAGCTTGGTACCCCGCATTTCTGGGAGGAGTGATTAAGTTGGGCGTTAGTCTCTCTCTTTGAAAAAGGAGGGGGGGAGGGGGGTACTAGTTAGGAGGGTTTGTGGTTATTGACGTTCATTCTTAACTTGATATTCTGCTTCCAGTGGGTAGTAAGTGCTAATGGGATAGTTACTGAGTTTATGGTCAACCGACTTGGAATATTCTGAACGTGTGGTTGGATTATATGTTGTATATACTGTCCTGTATGTATATACCCCTCCTGTTCGATCTTTAGATCCTCATAATTCCAGGATATGTTTATCAAGGAAAGTATGGTGATTCTATAGTTTTTCTTTTTCGGTTTCTTTCCCACCCTTTTTGGTATATGGATATTAGTACAGTATGAATACCGGGAATCCTTCTGGAGGCATGAGAATGAAAAGCTACAGTACCTCTCAATAATAATATGGAATGGAACTAGGATCCACTTTGTGACTTACTGTACGAAAAAAAAACCACGCCACTTTCTTGCTGGCTTAAACGCATGTCACTCACGCCCCACGTAACTCGAACATTGCCAATGAGCCGCTTTCTGGGGATGGGTACTTCGAAATACAGTACAGTTTGGGCCAGTATAGTTCAGTTCAGTACCTATGCCTTAGCTCCGCAGAATACGAACCTGGGCGTGCAGGTATAGATACATACTTACTAAAATAACTGCGGGGTTATTTGTAGTTTAGCTACTACTAATTAGATCGTAAGGACATGATAGCATGAGATAGCTTCTCGGTGTAACGGAAGCTTGTTGATGGGTATGTTCCTCTGTCGCGTCCGGCTTTTCCTCTGCGTTTTTCTTTTTGCGGGGAAGTGCCACGTTTATGGGGATTGTGGCGTGAGGTGCGGTTGTCATGCTACTTGCTTCGTGATGGTCTTGGATATTCGCTAGAGTAGTGTATCTCCTCGTCATCGCAATGTACATTTCCCGCTTCAAGTCTTGGCAATACATAGCGACTTAAGTGGTGCAGATCAAATCGGACTAAGCCCCGTAGCGTGCCTAGCCATCATTCCGACCGGTCCGACCCCTTGAATAGGAAATCGTAAACTCAAAATTCGAAAGGTACATATGCGATGACGAGGGCATAGGAGGCGGTCCCATGAGATACACTAGTTGATTTTTTGTTATTGAACGGGTGAGAATACTTGCGGGGACGTAGGTATTGCTTGTTCTTATATATCTTGTTATTATATCTATTAGATCAACCTGAAAGTTGAGATTATTGATACTGATATATATCTCTTACTAGAAGCTTACATACCCCATCAACACCCACCCTCCAGAAAAATACCACCAGAATGCCCCCCACCATCCCAAACGAGCAATGGGCCCAAGTAATCGAGAAAACAGGAGGCTGTAAGTCACCACCTTCCCAAAACAAAACACAACTAACACCTCCCAGCCTGCGAATACAAAAAGATCCCCGTCGCCAAACCAGCCGCAGATGAAGTCCTCATCAACATCAAGTTCTCGGGAGTCTGCCATACCGATCTACACGCCATGAACGGGGACTGGCCACTTGACAGGAAACTCCCGTTGGTTGGCGGTCATGAGGGAGCAGGTGTTGTTGTTTCGCGGGGGGAATTGGTGGAGGATGTTGAGGTTGGGGAGCATGTTGGGGTTAAGGTGAGTTTCTCTCCTTATTCTCGAAAGGATTCTTGACAGGAGAGGGAAGAGAGGGGTTAGAGTTTTTGTTGATATAATGAAAATAGTGGATCAACGGCACCTGTCTCTCCTGCGACATGTGTCAACAATCCGATGAACCACTCTGTCAAAAAGCCCTGCTATCAGGGTACACAGTCGACGGCACCTTCCAACAATACTGCATCGCAAAAGCCGCACACGTCGCGCGAATCCCCAAGGAGTGCTCTCTCGAAGCCGTAGCTCCCGTTCTCTGCGCCGGCATCACCGTCTACAAAGGACTGAAAGAATCGGGTGCTCGTCCGGGACAGACTGTGGCGATTGTGGGTGCGGGTGGTGGTTTAGGATCGTTAGCTTGCCAGTATGCGAAGGCTATGGGTTTGGATATTATTGCGATAGATGGGGGCGATGAGAAGAGGGAGATGACTAGGGAGCTTGGAGCGGGACATTTCGTGGATTATATGACGAGTAAGGATTTAGTTGCAGATGTGAAGGCTGCGACGAATGATGGTCTTGGACCCCATGCGGTGATTTTAGTAGCTGTGAATGAGAAACCCTTTCAGCAGGCTGCGGAATATGTAAGTCCTCGATACCCGTATGAAAAACTGAAAGGAAGTCAAACTAATGAATCCAGGTTCGTCCAAGAGGTTCGGTGGTTATAATTGGTCTCCCAGCTGGCGCGTATCTTCGCGCGCCGGTTTTCGAGTCTGTTATTAAGATGATTACTATCAAGGGTTCGTATGTTGGTAATAGACGTGACACCGCGGAGGCTATTGAGTTCTTCCGACGGGGTCTGATCAAGGCTCCGTTTAAGACCGTTGGTCTGTCAGAACTTAATGATGTATATGAGAAGATGCATCAAGGAGCTATTGCTGGACGCTTCGTTGTCGATACCTCGAGATAGCTCTACCTTGGTGAAAAATGCAATTAAAGTTTTTTGATAATGGAGTTTTGAGAGGTGGACGAGAAGTTGCTTTAGATGAGCATTAGGGGAATGTGTAACACAAATTGTACACGTTCCAGTTGAAGAAACAAAGACAATAACATCCAGCCCCAGTACACTTTCTTCTGTGATGGTACTGTATATGTAATGTGTCGTATCTTCTCATCTCATGGTATCCAAACCCCCTAAGCGAGACATCAAATCTCACCCACCGCGAAAGAAAACAGCGCAAGCCAAACAAACACAATACCTACCCAAATTCAACATCACAGGTCACCAGCTAAGAAGAAAAGAACTTATTTTCGCAGAAACTCAACAAAACCCCGTGGCGCACGCAATGATACCTCATCAGCACACCACATCACCGACAGATACGACCCCATATCCCCAGTCAGCCATCCAAACGTCACACCACCGCCAAAAACGGAGTCCTTCATATTTTGTTGCATTTCGCATGTCCACCTAGCGTCACACAGGAAGGGAGCTCCTTTGCAACTTACCAAGCTTCATACTCGTCGAGTTGTGGCGGCTGTTGGATACGGATGGATTTCTCAATTTCTGTGGTATTGAATTAAAGGACTCGGATGCCGCTTCCGTCCAGTTGTGTGACTTGTGCGATCCGGGAGACACTCCAGCTGGGAGTCGGAGTCTGTTGTATAACTAGTATTGGCCGGGTTTCAACATGCGAGATATATTGCATATATGATATGTGCCTCTAAATAGAGGCGAGAGGGGGAGGATATGTTGTGTGAATGAGTAGCGTGGCGAGGGTGTGGTTTGCTTGTTTCAGTGTGGGGGATAGAAAGGGAATGATCTTCCGTGTGGGTGGAAGGTATGGATTGGGAAGGTATGGATTGGGAAGGTACGTATAGGTGCTTACTTGGCTTCATGTGATATACCTCAGATGATATTGAGAGAAAAGTTGAGTTGTAACATGATATTATTTTGTTGCAGGAACCAGGACAATGATATCTTTGTACTCGTAGAAGTAGAAAATATGAGGTTAAAAGGTTATATTTGTTTTTCCATCAAGATGAGCGGAGTTCATCGGAATGAGCAACAAAGTCAATCTAATTCTGAATGAATCTTGTTGACGTTTGTAAGTTATCGTATTTCATTGACCGGGAACAGAGAAGGAAGTGGGGGCGATATATCATAGATAAAGATAAGCCAGCTTCAGGCGAACGGGAACATATGTTTATATCTTACCATTAAACCCTCGTTCTTCAAAGATCGAAATCTAGAGGACGGTCTGCAGACAAGCAAATCTACCCTATAAGAGGTAGACTTGTTGTTTCCTATAGGATGTTCGTTTACCTCGAAAATCGTAGGAAGCCAATAAAGGAGATTAACGAGGAGATAATATATCCATACAACGAAGGGTATTGCATCGAGGGCAAAGCTGTTGCGGTCAAGTTAGTAGGGACGTTCCTCCCAAAGCAAAAGTTGTATAGCAAAAAACCACACTTCATGCAGATGCATGGTTGCTTCGGGAGAACTCCCATGGAATCATTTCACAGTATACCAGACGTGCAAGCACGGGAGGATGTGAATGGCCATAAATTTTTTCATTCCTATGTCTGGGACAATGCGCCGGAACGCCTTGTCCGCTTCCGTGTGCCCATTATCACATCGAACATGCCAGTCCATCCATTTATGCCTTTGACTTGAGCTTCTCCTTGATCTCTCTACCAGTCTTGATGCGCTCCAGAATGTTCTCACGGTCCTTGTCGAGCTTTAGCTTGGTGATGACGACCTTTGATGGGTGGACGCCGATTGGGACGGATTGGCCGGAGGATTTGTCCTTGACGACACGCTCGATGTGGACGATGTACTTGAGACGGTAGACGGAGGTGATCTTTCCCTCACGACCTTTGTTGGAGCCTCGTACAACGAGAACCTCATCGTCCTTTCGGATTGGGATGGAGCGGACCTGGTAATATAGTTAGAGGGGTAGATGTTGCGAGCGCCTCGACAATACATACGTTGTATTTCTCACGGAGCTCCTTGCTGAGAGGGGCACTCATGATTGTGCGTCTGACGCTGGATGGCGCATCGTAATGGGCCTTGCGAGACTTTCTCCGGGAGGAGTGGAGGGCTTCAATTGATGTTAGTTGTGCGCTTTGAATTGAGTCGCAGGATCGACTCGATACATCTGCTAAACATTCGAGTGTTGACAATACATACCACTGTTGATCTTGGTCATCTTGACGGTGGTTGGATGAACGTGGAGATGTTTGTCGATTTTTGTCGCTGGTCGTTGATCGGAGCAAAAATCAGTCGCGACGACTTCTTGAAAATTACCTGCGTGGGCTTGGCAATTTCGCGCTAAGAAGCGATGGTTGCTGTCACATGATTGTCACATGATCAATCCGGGTAAATCATTTCTCCCGCCCTTCCCGTCTCCTCTTTGGACTCGTCTCCAGTTCATGGCGATCAAGATCCGTTTGCTTTATTGAGGTACATTGAGTGCTGATTAGTGTTAGTACCTCAAATACTGCAGAAAGCAACGTTGTCTCTCCAGATTATTTGGCATTTCAATTTTCAAGTCGTTCAAAAACAGGTCTGAACCAACGAAGCATTCACGACACAACGTTCGTGGAATGAAGAGTTCCAATGCATCTTCTTCTGCCTTCAACTCGTACTTCAGCTGGTCATTGACTTTGGCTTAGAAGCCTGTGATGCCCTTTCCAGCATGTGTATGTCATCAGTTGGCTACATTTTTTGGGAAGCACTGCAGCATTTATGCTACGTTGAAACCAAGAATGGAACGAAGCACCAAGAATTACCCTGCAGAGTATGATGCGGTTCGTACCAATTGTTACAGCTCAATTCCATAAGTTCCTGATATTCCAGAGTTGACAATTCATATGTCCCGCAAAGGTTCCTTGTACAGTAACTTCAGTCTTGGGATCAATCTTCCCCACTCCTGCTGTGGAATCTCTTGTTCCCCAGAAATCGCTCACTTCGGTCACTGCGCCCGAATATTTGCTTCATCACCCTTTACTTTGGTATCTGTTTAAAGTTCTGACAGGAACGGGCCGCATCTTAGCCAATTATCTTTTCAAACGTCTAACTACCGTTTTCTCGTCGCTTAGACTCAAAATCAGTCACTTGGGAGTTTCTAGGAGTGTGAATATCTTCAACTCTCGCTGTTCCATCCTATGATCAATTTGCACATCCAACCTGTTTCCTAGTTTCGTAATTTGTTACGTCTCAAGGTAATGGCACACACCACAGCCTTAGATTGGCTATGCAACATTGTCCTGGCCTTCGCCGCCCTCATTTGTTGCTCGGAGATTTTATATTTGGCTCACGTCTTCAACTGTTGCTGTCACTTTCCATGTTAGGAGGTGACAATTGCGAGAGGTTTGTGTACTTTCGCTCTGTATGCACGTTTTGTGCAAATTGAGAGGTCAATACATGCTCAACAGTGGATACAACGGTGGGAATCTTGGAGTAAAGAGTTCTTAACAGACGTGCAAGTACGGCTTCTCCGAGTAAAGGAAGCCAACTGTTGGTCCATGCCGCATTGATCTTGTTCAATGAAGTCAGACGACGAGTATATTTTGTATTCTTGTTTTCGATACAAGTGATCAACCTGTCTGCTGTCTCGGGTGACAAATAATACACATGGACATGCAGATCAATACTGTTAGAGGTTCACCGGGAAATTCTATGCTGGCATATGCTACGTTTTCTCAATTTGTGCTCATCGAAAAGTATCGAGACTCAGAATCAGAGGAAGCTGACTGAATGGCCGCTAGACAGCTAGCTGCGACCTAGGGCAGTCCGTATCTCACTAAATGCAGACTATCAGCTTTGCTACATTAACGAGACCGTAGGATACGCTAGAGTATGGATCCCTGCTGAAACTCAAGAATACTCTCCTATGTACTGTTGCCAGCACCTTTTCAAGTCCTGTTCTGGGACAGGGAGAACTGTCGTGTTTTAGTCAAATCCCTCAAAGTTCATACAACTTATTGTTAGATAAATGCAACCTCCCATATTGTCGAATTCAGGACTCTGAAGAAACGAGACAACGCACTCTTTCTGTACTATCATCACAATGTCTCATCCAGGTGCCGGTTCTATCGCCAGCCATAGTTCCCACACTCTCCACCGCCTTCAAAAGCATGATCTGGAAATCGGAGTGAACGCCGCGGTTCAACGACATATCCATCGAAACGTAGTTTCACCAAAGCCAGTCTCACAACGAAAACTTGACTTTGAGAATGCAAGACCGAGATGTTTCAGAGAGATGGCCGCTGAAGCACTCGGGGTTTTTCTTTTTGTGTTCGTGTTTGACACTTCGTCTATTTACTGTATTAAACAATCATATTGGGATTGCTAATGAGAACTAGATATCCAGCAATTGCATCGCAAGCTTCCTTCTTTACACATGACTTAGATCCGCGCTTCGGTTCCATTTTCCAAACGGGCTGGGCATATGCAATGGGCATTGCCTTTGCCATTATTGTTTGCGGTTCCACTTCTGGTGGTCATTTCAATCCTGCAATCACACTGTGTCTTGCAATATGGCAAGGGTAACCACTCCAAAACTCCCCGTCTCTTTTTATATCTGACAATCGCTTTCAGGTTTCCCTGGCGGAAGGTCCCAAGATATATCTTTGCACAAATATTCGGTGCCTTTATGGCCGGTCTGATCTTGGTTGGTCAATACCGTCGGCAGTTAGATACACTTTACACCGAGAGTCTGAATAAGGGCTTGAGTCCGAATTCCTCGGGGGGTCCAGGGAATATACTTTGCAGCTTCCCGTCGCCGGACGAGACCAATTATGGCCTTTTGGTCTCCAATGAATTCTTTGTGGATAGTTTTATTGGGTAAGAAATCATTTATCATCAGTCATTTTTTCACCTGACAAGCTCCAGCCTGGTTGTATGGTCGGTTTTGGATCCAGCAAACCCATTTGTCACTCCCGCATCAGTACCATTTATTATCGGAATGGCGTATGCTACCCTGGGATGGGGCTTTGCAAACATTACGATATCAACGAATCTTGCAAGAGACCTCGGAACACGTATCGTAGCAGCAATATTCTATGGCGCTGATGCTTTCAACGATTACTCCCCAATTGCAATATTTGTCAACATACCAGCAACGATATTTGCCACGGCAGTCTACGAAATCTTACTACGCGATAGTTTCTTGGAGTATGTCAAAGCCCTCTTTCTACCTCCTGTCACGTATTTGAACTTGAGATCTGTACATTGTGTGTGAATTATTATACTGACTACAACATGTGCTACAGAATTGCGAAAGGTCACAAAGATCACGAGGAGGGACAAGAAGGACTAGTTCAGCACATGAAGAAGACCGGTACTATATCTTCCCGCCGAACAAGCAGTAATCCTGAGATTGAGAACTTCTGTGGTGAAGGTAATCACAAGAGGCGTGAGGATACTTCTCCTGTTTGAAGCGGCCTACCTCTCAACGCCTTCCAATCTGTTTGCAAAGGTTGAGAGTTTTTATTATTCCCAGAGAAGCAGTTTGCAAAGTTTTGTGCGAAATCTTCTGCGATGTTTAAAAGGGGCTCTCGAAGCGATTGGAGAATTATGCACTTGAATATGATGGTTCTTCTAATACCTCTCGCGCGATCCGCTCCAATATCCGAGGTTGCACTACTGCTCTTCTTGCAGCAATCTTCAGGGACTTCCTAAGTAGTTCAAAATGATGTGGTGTTCAGATACGCAGAATATCTATTCATTTTTCTGCGCAGACCAAATCAAAGCAAAGACAACCTAGATAATTCATCGTCGTCTTCCGTGACCATACAGTCACACTTCAGTTATTGTCTGGTTTGACTTCAATAAATCAGGTCACGTAATCTAAGATGTGTCATAAAAAACGAAACTGGGTACCCAAAGTCCTTCGTTGGGGCTAAGGAAGCAGTGCTGGCCGGTCCTCCCAGTGTCAGGCGATGCAATGGAATCGCAGTGTCTTTCGTGCTAAGAAAGCAGCGCATCTGCATAACGCCGTGAAGTTCTATTAGTTTGCTGATGATCCAAGGGACTTCGTTGCGCAGCTTGCGCTACGAATACAGTGCTGTCTAATCTTTCGCTTTTTGATATTCTCGAAAGGAGAATGGACTTTCACCAAAAGAGGCCTTTGTATGTTTGCTCCTGATATTTTTGCATTGCTAGGTACCTACCTACTCCTCGTTCTATGGATTTGTGGCAACGCAACCGAATGTGTGGTAATTATTCCCCATAGAATATCTTGTTCCTTCTATTATGATTATTTGATCAATATGTTTTTGGGAATAGTGCATGCAGACCTCCGCTATCGCTCTTATGGCTATCCGAGTGTTGTTACAAGCGCATTCAATTCAAATCCGTCGATGCGACATGAACATGTCTCCTCCAAAAAAACCATGGCAAGGGGGAGGCGCAAGTGCGATCGTGATCGTGGGTGCAAAAGGTGGGTCCCAATACACTGACGCCCCGGCGTCAGTTTAGAGCTGACTAAGCGCGGGTTTTCACGCCCCCCCACCACCGAAATGCGCGCGCGTCGCATTTACATCTACCAGCACTGTACTTTGGACTGTAATCAATGCACGCCTGACATAGCTACATAGCGAAAATGGACGTTCAACTCTCGCTGTCGCCACTGCCCTTACATTCACCTGAGCAACCACTTGAGCCAGCGTCAGCAGATGCCACCCCTCATACGTCTATGCCACTGCCTCCAGAGGCTATATATAGCTCTAAAGAAGAGCTATATACTTCAATTCAAGCCTGGGCAGCACATCATTGCTATGCTTTTCGTATTGGACGGTCAACAAAGATCCATGGCGGTCCTAGGACGAAGATCACGTATAATTGCGACCGTTACGGCCTACCACCATCCGAAAAACATCCGCAACAGCATTTACAAGCACGTAAGCGACAGACAACTACTCGAAAAACTGGCTGCCAGTTCTCAATAGTAGCGCTTGAATGTATAAATTCTCAATGGGAGTTACGCTATAGGCCTGGCGTAGAGTATAGTCTACATAACCACCTTCCAAGTCAATCAGTTAGCTCTCATCCAGCACACCGGAAGCTAGCACAAGCAGAGATAAATCAGGCTAGATCTTTACACAATGCAGGTAAGATAGAAAGTAACTTGAAATAATTTAAGTCTAATATATATTTAGGGATTAAGCCAAGCCAAGCAATTACATACCTTCGCCAGATAACTACTACCCCACTTCAACCGTACGACATATATAACCTGAATGCCTCTTTTAAAAGAGAGCAAAGACATGGACTCTCTCCAAACGACGCCCTTATTCAGCACCTTACAGATAACAAAATACACTTCAAAATCAATGTCACGTCAGAGAACCGGACACAACACCTTGTAACGAATACTCAAACTGGCTAACTAAACTTGGCTGGGTGTTCGCTGGTTGGTATGCTATGATAAGAAGAAGA